CCATTAATACTTGAGAATGACCTCATCTCAATAATGATTTGATTTACTATTACTAGAGATTCAAGCTTCCATGAAAGAAACTAGGGAGAATATAGAAATAGATGAAATCAAATACTTCTCCCTATGCGTGCCTTGCTTTGGCACCAAGCCATGCACAGCTCCAGGGGCACGATCCACGTGGACGCAGATGTGAGTGATGGTCCCAGGGCTGTCAGTCCACAAACTCTACCACCATACAAGGCACATCAGATTGTACAGAGGAGTAAGCAAGCATGGGTCGTTTCAGAAAAATTGGAGATTTATACCTGCCATTCTGAAGTTTTCAAAGTAGAAGGGTTTATTTAACTCTGGTTAGGAGCACTCTGCACGGTATCATAAAACAAAGCCAATTCCCCACCTTGTCAGAAGGAATATATACTAGAAGCACATCAATGCAATCTCTTTGTGGAGGACGCTGTGGATTGCTTACCTAAAGGCCAGTCTTCCCTTCGTATTTGCTAAGAGACATCCCCCACCCCCAAGTTCAGATACTGTGCAGCTGTGCAGTTTGTAAGACACTGGATATCCTTTTGAGCACGAGAGGGTAAAACTGGGTAAGGGTATTTCATTACTCTTTGTACCTTCGGTGTAGGAAAGGGCATTTGAGCAATTTTACCCAATCAGCTGGAGGGAAAGACTAGCTCAGCCTTTGGGGAGAGGTTTCCTTGATTCACCACCCCCTTCCCAAATGGGGAAAGGAGACAACCACTTCCTTCCTTTCCATCTTTAGACATTGTGATACTTGTATTGGCGTCTATACAGCCATCTTGGAACCTAACTTGTGTGGTATGCAGCGTCTTGAAACCTATCTATGTTTATCTTATGGATGGTTAGAAGTAGCTCAATGAAACCTTGGAGAACATCAAATTCAACTCTATCATTTATTTTTGTTAAACCGGTTTCCATATTGTTTGGCTTACTAATACTCTGCAGTGCAAATCATAACCATTAGCCCAACTATTAAGTTTAGGAAGCAGTGATCAACATAGATATGATTTGGTTAGGTGCCATTTTACAGGTAAACACTCATAATGTGACTCTTTTAATTATGCAGTAATTTCCAGAATAGTGTCCTGCCAGAATTAAATCACTGGCATCAGCAGCTTATTTCTAGAATATTTTCAAAATGGGACCTTGGCTGACTAAGATGGGTGAATTTAATACTTAGAGAGTTACAAATTGATGAACAATGCTTTTTTGCCTTGTCATAAAATAGCACACACTAATTTATTGAATGTTTGCTTTTATGCTAAACCATATGTTAAGCACTTCCTTGACTCAAATAGCTCCATTCAGTTCTCACAACAACTCAGGTGAGATTGCTATTCTACCCCTTTCATGGATGAGGAAATGGAGTTTAGGATGGTTAAACAGTTCACTCAAGATTACAGGGCTAATAGGAGAAAAACTGGGATTTGCATTCTGACTCCAGAGCTCAAGATCCTAATCACTGCAGTTTTCTGCCCAAGAGTTAAGATAACTCCTTCTTGGTTGAGGCATGTGGCACACTGTTGGGTGCCTACTTGATACCTGTTCTTTCTCCTCTCAAACAGAACCTCTATTTTGTTTGGGGTGACTCAGGATCAATTTAATGAATGGTGGCAATCTCATTTGCTTTTTGCCACTGGGCTGCAGTGGGCATGTAACCATTGTCTGGCTAATAAGGGAGATTCTACTGGTTGGGGTGGAAGGTGGAGTCTGGGAAAGGTTTTCTCCTTTGTAAAAATGGGAGGAGCACTGCCTTTGCTTCCGTTCCTGCTTGTACAGTGACCTCTGAGGATGTCCTGTCTGGAGCTGTGGCAGCCATATTGCAATCAAGAGGTGATAAGCTTGGGGCGCCTGGGTGGCTCAGTGGGTTAAGCCGCTGCCTTCGGCTCAGGTCATGATCTCAGGGTCCTGGGATCGAGCCCCGCATCGGGCCCTCTGCTCAGCAAGGAGCCTGCTTCCTCCTCTCTCTCTGCCTGCCTCTCTGCCTGCTTGTGATCTCTGTCTGTCAAATAAATAAAATCTTAAAAAAAAAAGGTGATAAGCTTGGAGACAGAAGCCAACAGACATAGGATGGCAGACAACAGGCACAAAAAGAACTTGGGTCCTTAGTGACATGATTGTGCTTCTAAATGAACCAAGGCTACTTAACATCTGAACCTTGTGTTAAAGATAGAATAGGGGCGCCTGGGTGGCTCAGTGGGTTAAAGCCTCTGCCTTCAGCTCAGGTCATGATCCCAGGGTTCTGGGATCGAGCCCCGCATCGGGCTCTGTGCTCGGCGGGGAGCCTGCTTCCTCCTCTCTCTCTGCCTGCCTCTCTGCCTACTTGTGATCTCTCTCTGTCAAATAAATAAATAAAATCTTAAAAAAAAATAAAGATAGAATAAATGATCTTATGCTTTAAGCTGTTAATTATTTTGTTCCTGCTAGCCAAATGTATCCTAATGGATACAATCTGGGTAGGAAAGGACATTTTCTCAGAGGTGCTATGAAAGTAGATAATGTGGAGGTTATCAAAATGTCACCCAGGAATCTGTTAGTATAGGTAATACTTCAGAAAAAAAACCACTCCATCTTTGTCCCAGATATGGGTATATCTGGGCAATCCATATGTCTGTGCTGGATATTTCCCCCTTTTCTCTCCAGATGCAGGGTTTCCTCTTCCCTGTGTGACTGACTGAGATGGATTGCAGCAAAGGATTCTCTTGCCCTTTGGCTTCTGGTTGGATTTGGCCACTGGGATGTACCAGCAGGAGAGTGGAAGAGGGAGGTGAGTGAGATATAAATCCCCAGCTTCCTCCTTGAGCAATTACTTAGGCTCACTGCATCCCTTGATTGAAGTTCATAGGCTCCTGTCTTGCTGCCCTTCTGGAGCTGAATTTTGGTTCCTTCCCCTTCTGCAGACCTAGGAGCTTATAGTCCTAGGGTTCCACACTACCCTTGTGGTTTTCTACAGGCTGCCCTCATTTTTGTAAAGTACCATTTGTTTCCTGCTAGGCTCTGCTGATGCAATGATGTGAACTAAATCACTGTAGTGGTTGAAACTTGGTGCACTCTATCTGATACATGAGATTCTGTGGAGTTATTCATAATGTAAATGAGGGCTTTCCTCAACCATTAAAAGGGAGACAGGAGACTATATAATTAGGAGTCACTCTGCAAAAGTAAAATAAAGTATCCTAGCTCAGAGACAAGTTTCTACTTTGAGGACAAGAAATCAAAGAAGACTACCTGGAAGAGATGGCATTTGGGCTGAGGATGGATAAGATTTTTAAAAGACAAAAAGACTGGTGAGAGTGTGAGTCAAGTGAGGGAAGAGAGAATGCTCAAGAGTTTTCAAAAAAAATCACTGCTGGAAGGGACCTAATGTTCTTTATTCAGGGTTAGTCCTCCCTCCACCTCCTTCACAGATGAATAAACTTGAAGCCCGAGATTTGGCCAAGGTCAAACAGTAAATAGGTAGCATGCAGATCTGCTAGTTCCTGGGCTAGTGCTAATCCTCCACATCACCCTACCTCTTCTCAGGCAGTCTGTGAACTTGTCAGACTCTCCCACTAGACTATGACTTCCTTGACAGCTGTTTTCTTCATCTTTGAACTCCAGTACCTAGCACAATTTCCGAGATAAAGTCATCGTTAACATCACCAGCTAACAAAAGGTAAGCCCCCACCTTCTGTAAGGCACTGTGCGGATATTTTATATGTACCTATTGAAACCTTCACAACAGCTTGGAGGGGTATAATTATCTCCACTTTCCAGCCAAAGATGCAGCGGCTCAGAGAGGTTGTCTTTGCCCCAGGTCACACAGCAGTATGCAGGACTCTATTTTACCTTCCATCATGGGCGTCCAATAACATTTGTTGAATGAGTGAATGAACAAACAAGAAGCACCCAGAGTGCAGGTGATCCGTTGTGCGAGGCCACCCTGGAGACCCCACCACCTCGGGCGATGGACTCTGCTCACCGTCTCCCCTCCAAAATACACCCTCTCTCGGAAGCGCCCCGTGCGGGCTCTGGGGCTCCACCCCCTACTCCGCCTGGCTCTCCAGCCACGCCTCCACCTCGGGGTTCTTTCTGAGCTTCCCGTCCGAATTTTCGCTTGGCTCCAGACGCCGCCAGGAGGGCCTCTCTGGGCCCTGCGATGTGTGGCGGGTTCCATTCCCCTGCCCCTCCCTTCGCCCTCCCTCACTCTTCAAACTTCTTTTTTCCACCCTCTTTAAACTTCACTCATCCTACTGCCCGCCTCCTCCACTCCCACCGACCAATCGGTGGTCCTCACTCTCGCCGAAGCTCCGCCCCTGCCCGCTGGGGGCCAATCCACGGCGAGGGAGTCGAGCGCTGGGGCCCGTTCCCTAGCGCCTGGCCTGTGACGGCAGCGCGCCGGGCGCCGCGCGGCAGGAGGGGGCGGGGCTCTGGGTGAGGGATGGGCGAGGGCGGGGGGGAAGGGAAGAGGGAGGCGGAGGAGGTTGCGGCGGGTTTGAAAGCGGCAGTTTCCTGGCAGCTTGGGCAGGCGTTGGTCTCCGCGCTCCAGCTCCGCAGCGGCCACAGTCGATCCTGCGACGGGTCTACGCGCGCTTTTGCGCACCCCCCGACGGATTTTTCTCGTTCCGGCTTTTGCCCGTTCACCTCCCCGCCCCCCTGCTTCTGCCTTTCCCGCCGCTCCGGCGCGGAGCCCGGGGGCCAGCCAGCGGCCGTGACCCCGCCCGAAACCCCTCTGGAGCCGCCCGGGGACAGTTCCCCTCTCCTTTCTTCAGCCTAGCCCGGAGTGGTCCTCGCCGAGCCCGGCAGCCCCGGGGAGCGCAGCCGGGAGGGGCGTCCGAGGGGCGTCTCGGGGCTTGGAGCAGCCCGGCCCCGGCGGGCTGCGGTCGGGGGGGGGGGGGCGCCAGAGCGGCGAGGCCCCCTCGCCGGGCTGCACGGGCCGCGGGGCCCCCAGGCTGAGAGGGGGCCGGAGCGGCGCCCCCGCCGCCCGCGCGGGTCTCCCCCATGGTGCAGCGGGGTTCGGGATGTCGAAGACGCTGAAGAAGAAGAAGCACTGGCTCAGCAAGGTGCAGGAGTGCGCGGTGTCCTGGGCCGGGCCCCCGGGCGACTTGGGCGCCGAGATCCGGGGCGGCGCAGAGCGCGGCGAGTTCCCTTACCTGGGGCGGCTCCGGGAGGAGCCCGGCGGGGGCACCTGCTGCGTCGTCTCGGGCAAGGCGCCCAGCCCTGGGGATGTGTTGCTGGAGGTGAACGGGACGCCTGTCAGCGGGCTCACCAACCGGGACACCCTGGCTGTCATCCGCCACTTCCGAGAGCCCATCCGTCTCAAGACTGTGAAGCCAGGTATGCCGGCTCTGCCTTTTGTCTCGGGGTCTGGGGGCAAGTCGGGGTGGGCGTTCTGGGAGAGGCGGCCACTCCTTATTGCTTATCGCCCTGGGTAATCCTTTATTTCCAGGGTGCGCGGGACTCCCTGGCGAGGGGGTGGGGGGTGGTGGTGATTCCCAATTTGCTGGTAGGAAAACTGAGCTCTGGCTGGCCCGGGCTTCTCTGCAGGCTGTCAAGTATTGCAGCCAGAAGCTGGGTTTCCTAAATCTGTAGCCCCGACTCCTACCGAGAGTTTCTGACCCGAGATGAAAAAAAGGGGGGCAGCCTTTTCCGCTGCTCCCCTTTATGGAGAAGGTCCTCATGATTGTAGCGTATTCTTTGGAACATTCTTATGCATTTTCTAATCGGGAATGAGGTCTTATACTATTGAGGCACTTGGTGCCAAGGTTACCACCTAGTGTACCTAGGAGGGCTTAGCGGCTTCAGTGTTCCTTGCACACCAGCAACACCTGGGAGCTGACAGCCTAACTCACTCAGTTCAGGTGGTTTCAGGTGTCTGGGTATGGATGCAGTACAGTAGGTGATATGTGACCGAGTAGAGTGTTCTTGCGGGGAGCTGTTGAATAGTCTGGGCTTCGAAAGAACTAGGTGCCTCTTCGGAGTAAAATCTTTTCTAAATCTTTGATTTCACACACATTTTGTAGAAGTGGTGAGTAAAACGGACCCCCGTTGCCCTGGTGTCTTTTATGCAAGTCAGATCTATTGTAAAGCACGTTCCGTTTATGTTTCAAAGCATTGATCAGACTGCGTACAGTGAAATCTGATAGTGTGCAATGGTCCTGATGTATTTGTTATCTACAGCATCGTTCAGTATTGGTTAGAATGTGGCTCTGTTTTCTGAGAGGCTTGTAGGAGAGAGAATTACGATCACAATGTTATTAGAAATCAAACTAGTTTCGTTATGTGTGCTCTACTGAATCTATAGTGCATCAAAATATAATGGGCTTTTTAATTGTGACTTGGGCTGGAGCGATCAGTCCATCCCTTCACTGCAAAATGCTAGAAAAATCGGGAGAAAAATTTAACATGTTCTCTCCCTCACATTGTTTTTTCTTTCTCAGCAGCTCACTTTGGAAATCTCTCTTTCATAGTCCATGGGCTTATTGGGAACTGATGGTTTGTGGTGCAATATACATATGTGTGAGTATTGTGGGTGTATACGCACACACTCACATGTCCCTGCAATCTTAAATTAAGATTTTCTTCATGTGGTCTGTTTCATCATATTCATTTTAAGCTTACAGTTTATGTAAGGGCTTCTTTTTTATTGCTAATTTAAAAAACTTTGGCAGACTTTAAACTTCATTTTCTGTATAGTTTCACGAATTAAGAAAGTCTTAACTCAAACTTTCAGAGCCATATGTGAAAGGTGGAGGAAAGGTTTTGGGGGCTGTAATTTAGTGAGTCAGGCACTGTCTGTAATATGCAAAATACTATATAATACATGGTTTACTAGTGTAGGTGCCATTTAGTTCAAATCCCATGAGTCAGGGAATAATGAGAACATCTGCATCATAGTGTTTTGTTTTGATTAGTTGGGGCCATAAATGAGAATGTAACTCTTATTTTCAAAAATAGTTTAAGATTTAATAGATTGAGGAAGTCGATATATACTCAAAGTATTGTGATTCTTTTAGAAGACTGGGGAGATCTTTAATATTAGTCTGATGTGCAGGTTATATATTTTCTCAACGCTTATATCAAATTTAAGAAAATAATTCAAAGTTTAGAGTGTATTCGGTAATATACATTAGCTGTGTTGAATAAAAATCATATGCCCTGGGATGTAGTTGATATTTTTATAGTAATAAAATTTTGCCCTCTTGACAACCACAGTTACTTTTCTACTTTAAATGTTAAGCCAAAAAACAAAGAGGGGAATAATTTATATTAATGGGTTTAGCATATTTTCTGATCATTAATAATAAAAGTTCTGAATACAACACTTATTTTTTTAAAGGTATGCTCTGCTTCAGTAATTTCTAAAGCGTACCACTATGTGTCATCTGAGATTCTTACTCTTTGTTTCTAAGTAAGTTGTAATTTAAAAATCTCAATTTCTCAAAGGATAGTATTCTTAGTTTTTTAGTATCCTCATGTTAAGCATTACATGAAATGGCTTTCTTAAATGGCTTTGTTTAAACAACATTTGTTGTAAAATAGCAAGGTTTTTGCATGCTAAGTGCAAGACTTCAAATATTAGAAATTAAGGAACTAGAAGAGTTTATTCCTAGAACTTTGGGTGTAATTACAAATCGCATAAATATTATCTCTGGAGGAGACAGGGATTCCATACTGTTAGGCTTAAATTTGAAAAGTATGAAAGTACAAAGTAAGGAAGTTTAAAAAGGAATTTGCTCTGCACATTTTTTTTTTCATTTTATCTAAACTTTGTGAGAGAAATGGATTTTCCATTTTAATAAGGAATTGTAAAGTGTACTTTGCACTGTCTCTTGTCTTGATTAGCAACTCTTCGTAAAACTATATTCATAAGATCATCTAGAAACTAGTACAGTTCAAGAGTAAATTTAACATTTCTGTGAGATGTAATAATAGTGTGGAATGATCTCACATTCATTGTCTTCTGACAAAGTCCATGGCAAAAGGATGAATATAGATCCTTCCTAGTTTTCTCCTTTTTGTCTAGTACATGCTAAGAGGAGCTCAGCCAAAGCCAGCGTCAACACCTGGATGACTTAAGGAAGATTCTTTCTGGCATTGACCGTCTTCTGCTTTGATTTGAGGCTTTAGTATTTTTTTTTTTCTTACTTGCAAATTCCATTAAAGATTATAACGGAAAAAAAACCCCACTTTAAAATATGGTTCTTAATCCTAGGCTTTCTTGAGAGAATTAGGGAATTTCTTATTGGAATCTTATTTTTACTTAGTATTCACATAATACACAGCAGTCAGTACATTCCTGCTTCGAGGACCGTCTTTAGTTTCACCTGTTCCTTGGCCCAGCTGGTCACCTATATCTTAATTACAAACCTTTTCTTTTTTTTCTTTTCTTCTCTCCTTTTTCTCTTCTCTCTCTCTCTCTCTCTCTTTTTTTTTTTTTTATTCTTGTCTGCAAGGAGAAAAGTTCTTAATTGAATTTGATCTTTGTAGTTTCACAGTAGTAAAGGAAGTTGAACTTTGGACCTCTGATGAAATTGTTACATGATCTAGTCCTATGACCAGGCTTAGTTTCTTTGATTTTATTTCAGAGTGTATTTTTAAGCAGTTTTTTTTCTGGCTAATGATAGAAATAGTCAGTTTTGTTCTAAAATTCTCCGGATGATGAATGTTTGACTTTAATATTCAATTCGTATACTTTTTTAAACACATATTTCAGTGGTTGCAAATTATGTGGATTTTATTCTGCAGGTTAAGTATTGATACATTAAGTACATGAAATCATTATCTACTGCTTTATTATGCTTTCAAACTACCTTAAGTCTGCTACTGTATCTAGAGAGGAAAATCATGAGGAACAATATTACTGTTTAAACAAAAACTAATTTGAAATAGATCTTGTTTAATGCCAATTAATTGTAGGTCAAAGTTTGCCACGGACTCTTAGAGACATTTGATTTATAGGGGAATTTTGTTAAAATGAGCACATTCCTAGAAATCCATTCCCCATTGGTGAAGAAGCATTACTAGAAGCTTTTGAGTAAGGGTGTTACGTTATGCCAATAATGAATAACTTTATCCCTTTCTTTTAACTTTTGGGTCTTTCTGTCTTTTTGGTTTAATGGGTAATTTGGGACTTGTGAATTTTGTTTAGGTGGTTGTCATATTTGATGAAGGGAAGGGTGAAAGAAGTTAAAATTCAATTGCTAGCTGCCTACGTTTCTAATACAAAAATCTTTTTTAACATAGAAGCTAGAGATTGGGTGAGGCAGCCTCTTTGTTAGGGAAAACAGCATTAAATTTTGATAAACCTTAAATTGGAAACTTTACTGTCCTCTCAAAATTTGGTAGCAATTTTTTGGGTCTAAAATTGGTCTCAACTCAAGTAACTTCAGGTTTTGGACTTTATTCATTGACACCTTCAGTTCATGTGAATAATGGGCTTATGTCATAGAAGCTGAAGAAATATTTAATAATTGGCCCTTTTCAGTTTTCATATCATTTGTTTTATTCAGTTGAATGTTAAAACTGATTTTCATGGGACATAACTGTGTTCCTGGGGAATATAAATTGTTTTCCTTTGGAGGTTCTGGGAAGTACTTTATAAAACCTCTGAGAGACAAATTTCTGTGTGTGTGTGTGTGTGTGTGTGTGTGTGTGTTTCTTGGTCTCTAATTTATCTAAATTGATGGTAAAACAAATCTACATTTGCTCCAGGATCTGACTTGTGAACTCAGTGCATAATCTTCTCAGGTGAATAGTTTCATAAAATATCTTTACCATATAATCTCTAAGTGCTTTATAAATTTTGTGAGCACTTAGGAGTTTGGGGAGTGTGTTGTCAGAGAATTTCATTTTTATGAACCACTTCCATATTCAGTACCAATTCCAAACTCTACCAATTCTTAAGTCAGTTTTTGGTTGTTTGTGATATGATGAAGGGTAAGTATTTTGGTAATGAAGACCAGAACTGTGACCCTTTTAATTAAATAAGCAGTTCTGGCTCTCCTCTGAATTTTTGAGAAATAATTTCCTTGCAGTACTACATTTTGGCAGAGAATGAATGTCCTTTATTTAAAACTGCTCCTAAGGGTAAGACTTTTGGTGGCTCAGAGGCTAGTGTTATGAGAGACGTGTTTGTGCGGGAAGAGTTGTTCTTCTCCTTGAAAGTATGTTATTTAGAATGTTTCCCCCAAAAGGTGCTGATTTTACTTTATAAAGAGAAAAAGTTTGGTTCCTGGCACACGTTCATTCCCTCAGCAGCCGTTTGGGGATGTACCCATGTGAGCTAGCCCTGGTGATATAAAAACAGATATAAAAATGAATCAGTAATGATCTCG